AAATACGTCAGAGGACGTGTGATTCTTGAGAAACAGAGTGAAGGTTTTTCTTCCATGCCATCTTGACTAACTTCCACCTTTCCTGCTTGGCTCACATCACATCAGCTGATTGATTAATCCTCAACAAGCGAGCTGCTCAGCAGGAAACTGATGTGTGGGAGGTGAAAGAAGGTGCGGTGGGAGTTGAGAGGAGGTCTTGCCTCCCGTTTCCCACAGAGTCCACTTTGGGATGAGGTGGGCTTTGCGCTCAAACACTTGATGCTTTTCCTCCTACATGCTGTCAAAGATGAACCTCCCTGGTAGTGCAACAGTCTGATTGGTGGCGTACAGAGTGGGAGAGGCTTCCTGTGGAGAGATTTATTGAGTGGGGGCGCAGCGGAGCATATACACTTTAAGGAGACCGTGTGTGATATCAATAAAACAACTGAGGAGACAGACTGTTCGTGGGCACGCTCTCCAAATCTATTTTTTAACTGTGCAGACGCCATTTATTTCATTAAATCTGCGTAAAATGTCTTGGTTTTGGTTGTTTGCAGAGCAGAAGCTAAAACCAAGAAGGCAACATACAAACCAGTTGAGCTGTTGTTTGTTTTAATAGTATGTGAAGATGTTTATTACATTTCATTGTTTAATTATCACTCTACAAATATAGTAACAGAAATTACACAAAGTTATCTACAAATACTTTGCAGCTTTGCACTATGCGTGAAATACATTTTCACACAAACTATCATTCACCGTTGAAACCGCTTTCTATTTTAAGATGTGAAGCGTGCAGTGGGATACTTTATTATTGCTAAGAATCCATTGCCCATTTCTAATTTTAATATACAAATAACCTGAAAAAAAATGGCTTCAGCTCAGTAAGTTTGACAGATTTTGAGCAAAATCTAGGTGAGAGACATTCAAAATGCATGCTTTGAGAGTGACATCCCATAAGTTGCATCATTCGGTGAAGGAAAAAAAAATATTGACTCCCACGATGACTCTCAATTTCAACTCTACTGCAGGTTCATGATTGTTTTCTGTGCCTTACCTTAGGCAGATCTGTTGAAGGTTTATTGTTTAGACACTTTAACTATCCTGTATTTGGCTGAAATGAGTGTCATACAAAACTTAGACTACCTTCTGGATCAGGGGGTCATTTATTAGGCATGAATTAGCTGGTTTGACCTTTGACACAGACAATACTTGACATTTATGTGCTCACCTTGAATGTATAATGTCCTTGAGCTAATGCTAGAAGCCCTAAAGGAAATAGTTTTTGTATGTTGCTGTTTTAGAGACATCATCCGAGGCAATATCGTAGAAAAGTCCTAATAAAGCTTTAGTTTCCTTCCTCTTGTTCTGCCTCCACACTGTAATTCTTACAGTTGTGTGACTTGCTTTATGAGTCACGCTTGCTTTGGCATTAATCAAAAATCAGAAAGTCAAAACAATGGAAGCCAGTGAAATACAAAGGTGAACGCATCTACCATGGAAACGAGCTCAAACCGTTCTCCTACATAATGTTACGCTGCTAAAATAGTCTAAAATTACTGCTCTGAGATGTTTCTGCTGAATTTGTCTCGATCTGAGCCTTTCAGCTGAAATTGTCTCTGTCCTTGACAGAGGTCCAGTAACGGTGTTAAAGTGTTCCAGGAACAGGAACAGACCTGCGTCACAGTCGTGATGGACCCCACCCCCATTTCAACCATTTTCATAGGACTTCAAGGCACCAAGTGTGTCCCGTTTTGATCTCTGGATTTTACACTTTTTATGCCTCCCTGATTTATAAATAAGCTATTAGATGACCTCAGCAGCGTGATCAATCGTGTCCAGCTGCACGGGGGTGGGGTTTTAAAGAAGCATATTCTAAAATGACTAAAATAGTCACTTTTAAAATCCTATTTTGGGCCAGCTTCATAAATTTGTTAATTTTATTGTGAATGTGGGATGATCAACAGCCTATCATTCCTTGAAAAGATGCACATTCCCCAATAGCCTTTTGTGTTTTAGATGAAAATTAACTTCTGCTAAGATATGAACAATTTTCTATCTTTTAGTCCATATTGAGTGGGGTAAACAACTCTCAGCTACTACCAGGTGAAGTTTTTATTCAATATCTGTAAAAATAACTGATGCATAGCAAAGGTTGTGTTTGTTGGTATGCATAAGCTGTGGCAGTCATCTGAAATCCAGTTGTAGATGTACATACAGTGAGTTCTTTCTGAAGATTTCATTCAAATCAGTCCAGTGGTTGAAAAGATATTTTGCTAACAGACAAATACAATTGCCTCTAACAGCTAATGTGTTTCTCTCTATATATTTTTTTTATTCCGCTGCAGTTTAACGTCATTTACTGCTTGTTTGAGTCTGTTTTTTGCTGTCATTTGGCATAATTTTTTTTTAAGTTTATTTGTTCCTATTTTGATCCACATGTGTTTATAATTTTGTTTCTTTCTGCTTTGTATGACTAAATAAAATGTGTGGGAATGCTGCTCAGTTTTTTGAATCACTTAACCTTGCATGTACATAGCACTATGCATTTTTTGTTGATTTTTTTAATTGATTTCAGATCTTTTACATTTTTTATTGGTCACTTTTAATGATTTTGCATTTAAGGTTGGAGGACATTTTATATGACTTTGATATTGTGTCATATGTGTTTGTGAGAATTGTGTTTGTGGTTGTTTTGTTTCTGTGGATGTATTGTGTGATTTTTATACACTTGGAGGGTAAAAGCTTTGCAGCTTGCCAAGTTTATAACTCATGATTAGTTTATGTTTGAATTATATTTTTGTGTCACCATTTTCTACTTTGTTGTTGTCCTTTCACCTTTGTTGTCAGAGGTTCTTCTTGGGAATTCATTAATGCGCCTCTCAGGATTTTTCAGACTGAACTGTTTGCAGATAAAACATAAAACGAAGCCCCGAGGGCAGGCAGTCGATCCGCTGTCCATGGTGCTGAAAGTAAACAGGAAGGCCCCGGGCCCCAGAGTCCTCTGCAGATCCCTTAAAAGCATTTAAGGACACTTTAGTCTGACTAACATGCAGTCTCTCACTTTGTTCACCCTAAAACCTGTTGGGTTATTTTTACAACTTAGTTTCTGGATTGAAGCTGTTGGCTCATAGTTGGGTTGGTTTGACCAAATATTGTGTCAGCATGGTTGGGTCAAAGTCATGCCATTTCTTGCAGTCCTCTATTTTAAACCAGAGGTTGACCAAATCACATCCTGGCTGGTTCTCTGCTTTAAAGTCTCTGTGACAAGATTATCCCACATCTACAAAAATAAATAAATAAATAAATAAATAAATAAAAGAAAACATTTTAATGATTAGGAAACTGTTGCGTAATAAACATGATTTTAACCATTTAGTCACATAACTGGCATATTTCCTTTTGAACTTGGTGTAGCCAGCGTGAAACAGGAAGTTACACTGATGGGAAACTTTAAAAAGGAGAACAACCTGGTCTTTGTTGATCGAAACAATACTTTTCAAGTTTGACTCTTCTTTGTCTCTTTCTTATACTGACTTAAAATAATGAAAAGAAACATCAGATTCTTCTCTACTGTCTGTGTTGTCAGTCACTGTAGCAATGTTCTGTTTACCTGCAGCCATTCGCCACTGTTGTCACTTTCCTATTTACTGTGCATGCAAACATCTGAACAACGGTTCATCTCAGTCGTGTGATTTTTATTTAATTTTTTTAATTTTTGCAATGCGTTACTCGTGTTCTTTTTGCAAAACTGCGTTCATATTTATTACAACAGTCTGACGTCACAGGCACTTTAAGCTGTAGATGTCAGCTCAGGTGTTTCATGCTAATCTGTCCCAGTTTGTTCTCACTCACCGGCAGAGCATTATAAACTTCTATGCTAAAATCCTTTTAACCTCCTTGTGAGTCTTCGATTCCTTGAGTCCTTGGACGTTTTGATGCCTCAACAGCATTTTGTTTCATTAAACAAGTTTGTGTCAGTGTGCATAACTGAGTCTGAAAACCTTCTGCCACCGTGACAGGTTAGTAACTTTAGACAGTGGGTTAGATTATTTAATTGGTGCTAACCACTGTTAGTGTGAACTGGCTAAGTTATAATTGTCAAATAATTCAGAGTTGGGTTGTTTTTAGGGGTGCCAACAATCCTTCATAATAAGGGGTCATCGCATATTAGAAACTAAAAAGACAATTTAAAAAAAGTTGATAAGGAACACACTGTGGGTTTATGAGTCATCTGTTTATAGATGTTTATAGATAAAACAGGTGGAATAGGGAGTTTGTCCAATCAGTGCTGGAGAACCATGCTTTTTATTTCTTCTGCTAAAGATGCTGAACATAAAAATATACTTTGGTGAACTGAAGCGACCAAGAAGCATATTGTTCAAGCTGCTTGGACGCTTTTAATTAAAGGTGACAGGATATTTCCAACACAAACTAGAGAGAAATTGCATGTTCTTCAAAAGTGCATTAACTTGAACTAAAGGTCATCTCTCCCATCATGCCCAGTCAGTGTTCTTTATTTTAATTTCTCTAAGTTGGCAGCAGTTGTTCTCAACCTGTTAGTAGCTCTAAGTCATCAAATCGGTCATTTTAACTCATCTTTATGGTTGAAAACCTCACCCAGTGTGTTGGGTCAAACTGATACTCTAATCATTTCAAACTGGGCCCAACATGAGTTACAAACTGGGTTTTTAAATCCAGCCTGTGTTCAGTAAGGTTGGACTTGTGAATCACTGACAAATTTACTGATCACATATGAGATTATGTGCCTTCTATGTATATGTCAGTCTTAAAAGTAGTTTTTTTTTTTTTTATTAAAACAAAGTCCCACTCATGCACCGCAAGGATGGAGAGTTTCTTTCTCCTGCTCTCACAGAACATCCCACTTTTAAGAAGCCTTCTGTCATCAGTAGACGAAGCAGTTTCACTTTGCTGCCTCTCAGTCTGGCGAGGTGCGAACCCCGCAGGAACCATCCTCCTCCTCCTCCTCCTCCTCCTCCTCCTCCTCTCCCTCCTCCTCCTCCTGGTCGAGCTGCCGCAGCAGCAGCAGCCGCAGTAATAACCGCACCTGTCGGGAGCAGAACGTGGTGAATAACCGTGCGAGGAGTAAAAAAGAACAGGAAGGAAACACCGCTCCGGGTGTGAAAACGCGATGGCTGCGCGTGCGGACATTTCTGCGGCTGGAAATTACGCATCGGTAAGTTCCTTTGACTTGTTATTCAGGGCGAGGGAGGCGCGCGTTCACTCACATCTTCATGTCCTGCTGCAGCACGTGAGCTCAAAAGGCATGTGGTTATTGTTATATGTCGTTAAAGGCGTCAGTTTTTGCTCTGAAATGCCAGAAGGCACGGGTGGAATTGATTTGGTAAACAAGATCCAATGTTTCCCAATCGAAGGTCAAGCACATGTCTGCTGTTTTAAAGAATCTCCAGAAACAAAACCTATTGATTGCATGGCACCAGGGAGACAAAGAACTATCAGTCTCTTATTGATTGTGATTTGGAGTGGTATTGTTCTGGCCCAGATATGACAGGAACCACCTGACGCAGTCATTTAAATGCCAAGAAGCGCCTTTGAGCTGCATGACCTCTGGATAAACACTGATCGTTCTGAACGTGGCTGCGTTTTTGCACATCCACAGACATGCAGTGCACGTTCACAGAGCTGCATCTGGGTTAACTGGATGCGCACCTCTGGGTCGATCCGAACTGAAAAGGAAAGATTAAAGCACACAAAGAAGAAGCTGAAAAAGTGGGGCAGATCTTTAAAATGAGCTTTAAGATATAGGCGCAAATCATCATGCAGGCATGCGCGCTCACTTCTTGCCTTGTTTCTTTTCTGCCTCTACAAACCCACACACGCACAGGCTGTTAAAAAAGAGCTTCACTGAAATCCTGGTTTTATTTTCGTTCAGATGATCTTCATCTGTTTCAGGTTGCCTCTTCTTTCACAATAATAGGGCACTTTTGTGCAATTCCCATGAAGCCTCGTGGATTTTTTTTTTTTTCTTCTAGTGACTCACACATCCAGATCCGAGTAAAGCAGTGTATTTTTTTCTGTCCTCAGGATGGTTTGATGTTGAGCACCACATGATTAAGGGACTTGGATCCCTACCATGACAGCTTGCAGTTCTAATTATTATTATTTTATGATGAAACTCGTTCCCCCTCTCCCTCTTTCCCCCTAACATATTTAAAAACAGAATTTTTTATGAGCTAATTAACTTCATGTGTGCATTCATGCCTGTATTACAGTGTCACAATGTCCATCCTCCCTGTTTGGTTTCAGCCCAGCTCCATACATCCTCCTTTAAATCTGTCGATTTTCCCTCCGAGCACGGTTTCTCCTGTTACTCCACGAAGCATCCAAGAGATGCTTCAGAGATAATTGGATTCGGTTCTGGATGGAAAGGACACAGAGCTGAATGTGTCTGTGCGTACATGAATTATCGTTGGGATATATGTGTGTGCATGTGTCTGAGCTCTGCTGTTTCTCTGATTACAGGCATGTTCTGGGTTTCTGCTGGTGCCGGCCCAAAATAAAGAGAGATGTTTTGTGTTTTTCTGTGAATCACTGTGTTTGCAGGAAGCCGCACATGCAAGACAATAAGAGAAAGCAGATGGGGAGGAGGTTGTTTTAAAGTCTGACTTGAAGCACAGTGTTTCTTTACTGCTTGGAAGGAAATGCTTCAAAATCTTAAGCCTGAGCCATCATAAAGTTCATAAAGACACAACTTCTTAGATACTGTTACTGCTTTAATGGACATGGAATGAGTCAAATCAAAAAAGAAACTGATGCCTCCATGATATGATCTAGAGTTGTATAAGTACAAAATGCTGTATGAAACGATGTGTATCAGCTGAGGAGCTGTGTGTGTTTGGATACGTTTGACTTCCAGACATCATGTGATAAAACATTTGAGTGATTTGTTGTGAGATAAAACTTTTTTTTGTGTGTGTGTGATGAAAGTTCTCAAATATGAGTTTAAGCGACTAAGTATTTTAGAGAATATTTGTCAGAATTGATTTATTGATTACCCACTTCGTTTATATATTTTTTTTAAATACATAAAGTTTCGATATCCTAGTTGCACTAACATGAACCAAATTGTTTCCCTTACACTTTTACCAAGAAGACATGAAACTTTAGATATGTTTCAGATTTTGACATGTAAATGATTCTGGTTTCTTTTATTACTTTTGTTTAAATAATTCAAGGTTCAAGTTTTGGTATCGTCATTCACATCACATGTGGTACATAAGGTGGAACAAAATTGTGTACTCAAGGTCCCACCGAAAATAGCGAAAATATAAAGTATAAAATGAAACAGTATACAGTATTAGGATCTAAGATATATGCTAAACAATAATAATGTAATATAATAAGCAGCAGCCTGAACATGAGTCTGTAGTGAGCAGATGGGCATAAATATAGCAGCTTAAAGGCAAGAAATCAGCAGCATGAATAAAGTGACACATCACCAATTAAAGTGGTATTACAGAGATTTTTCTGGTTAGAGATTCATGAGTCTAACAGCCTCAGGGTAGAAGCTGTTCCTCAGTCTAATGGTTCTACACCTAATGCTCCTCATCCTCATTCCTGAAGGGAGCGGGGCAAAAAGTGTGTGTGCTGGGTGAGTGGGGTCCTTCATGATGCAAGTGGCCCTCTTCCTGCATCTGGAGGTGTAGATGTCTGTGATGGTGGGGAGACTGACTCCAACAGACTTCTGTGCAGCCTTCACCACTCTCTGCAAAGCTTTTCTTTCTGCAGCTGTGCAGCCTCCATGCCACACATTGATGCTGGAGCACAGGATGCTCTCCACTGCACACCTGTAGAAGGAGGTGAGGACTGAGCTTCCCAGACCAGCTCGTCTCAGCCGTCTGAGGAAGTAGAGTCTCTGATGAGCTTTCTTGATCAGGCTGGTGGTGTTGTTGCTCCAGCTGAGGCTGTCATTCAGGTGTACACCCAAGTACTTGTAGCTGGAGACCACTACCACTGCAGATCCTCCTAAATTGGGGGGGTGGGGGGGTTGCTCCTTCTAAAATCCACTATCATCTCCTTCATCTTCTTCACATTGATGTGAAGGTTGTTCTTCCTGCACAAGCTCTCCACGTGTTCCATCTCCTGCCTGTAGCCGAACTTATCATTGTTTGTGATGCATCCCACCACCTCTGTATCATCTGCAATCTTTACAATGTGACAGCCTGGATGGGCAGCTGCACGGTCATACGTGAGCAGAGTGAACAGGAGGGGGTTCAACACACAGCCCTGAGGGGAGCCAGTGCTGAGGGTTATGGTGGAGGAGGAGAAGTTGTGGATCCTCACAGACTGTGGCCTGTTTGTTAAGAAGCCCAGGACCCATTTGCAAATGGAGGGGTTTAGTCCTAGTATGAGTAGTTTGGGGGATCGTGGTGTTGAAGGCAGACGTGAAGTCCACAAAGAGCATACGGACATAGGAGTCCTTCTGCTCCAGGTGGATTAGAGCAGTGTGGACCACACAGGAGATGGCATCCTCTGTTGATCGATTCTTGCAATATGCATACTGGTGAGGGTCCTCGCTGATGTCGATGGTTGCTTTGATGTGGGCCATTACCAGTTTTTCAAAACATTTAGCGACTACTTGTTTGATGATTAGGAAGTAAATATTATGGAGAGCAATGTTTTACAGTAAATGCATTCCAGTTTAGTTTAATCTTATAAATGTTTACTCACACTGTTGTGCAATTGGGATTTTATTTGTGAGATTTATGTAAATTGTTAAGTAATGTGTACAAATCATCAAAAGGAATCAAACTAAGACCCTGAAGAGACACAGAAAAGGGGTTTGAAAAGCATTAACTTAAAGGGAATCATTAAAAAAGAAACATTGAATGCATCAAGAGACTGAAAAATCATCATATGATCATATGACGTCAGAAGAGGATTGTAAAAATGCACAGAGAAATGGCCAATATATATATATATATATATATTTTTATGTTTGCATAAAATTCAGGTAAAAATGTTGTGATCAGCTCTAACTGCTAAAACCATCAGCACCCCATACTTACAGATGAAGAACATCAGACGTGTGTTTCAAACTAAATCACTTCACATTTAGACCAAAAACATTTAAATGTAGCTGTTCTTGTTTTTTCACTGCCATACTTAAAAGTAGAGGAGGTGTTTAAAATAATAAACTAAATATCTCAGCTGTGTCCATATAAAACTGTATTTAGTTTGTAAATTGAGGCAACACATGCATGTAATATCCTTTTTTATGTCCAATATTTGTATTTTTTAACACATTCTTTTCAGTTAGATTTTTTTTTTTTTAATTCTCTCAGCTGCAGAGTTTGTCAATCTTAATTCACATTTCAGATTGGTTTTAAATTTGTTAAACTCTGGTTAAAAAAATCTAATCTAAACATACAGTTTCTTAAATAGTTAGGGAAAACTTCAGTTTCACATAAGTGTTTTTATATAATATTAATCTACTATGTAAAATATTTATAAAGCTTTTTTTTATTAATTTATTCATTAATTTAAAATAATGAAAAGGGTGCAGAAAGAAGAAGAGCATTCTTATAATGTCTGCCCCTTATTTAAAATAAGATATAAAATAACTACAAACAACAACTTACTGTATTGAACATTCTCCAAAGTGAAAACAAAAAAAAAAAGATTAGGCATCCTTCACATGGCCCCATACTGTCCCAACAATTTTAACTTAATCATCTTTTTAAACATATAAATTGTTTTAGAAATTTTACGGTGATATCAAAACATTTCCACAATCCTGTTCCCTGAATTACAACGCAGCTCCTTCAGACCAGTTCCAAATGAAAGTTTTACAAATATTTCCATTCCCTTAAGGCTATAATGACTCTCTTTTTTAAACAAAATTTCATTGAATATTTGGGGGTAATGTTTTTAGGAGCTTTATATATGACTTGTAAAATACTATATTCAACCAAATCATAAAATTTTAACAATTTCAACTGATGAAATAATATATTTGTTGGGTGACCATAGCACTATAATTCTTATAGCTCTTTTTTGTAAAATAAAAATAGGGTTTGTAATTGTTTTGCTTTTCTCCAAACTTCAATACAATAGATTAAATATGGAACAATCATTACATTATATAATATATACATTATATTTTATATATTTTAAGAAGACTTTAGCTGTGATTTAATCCCAGGTGTGTTTTTAGCGCCTGTATTTTAAAAACTTCCTCTCTCTCTTTTCAATTTATGATTTTAATTTAATGTAAAAAATAAAAAAGTTTTTTTCATGTACTGTAATGTGTTAGTTTAAAAAAAAGATGTTTGATATAGTTGGTTGTTTTTGAAGTTTAATCCTGTTACTTTATTCACTTCAGTTTACATGCACAGTTATTAAATAAACCATTTTAATTGGTACACTGATCAACGTAATTATTCAGTAGTAGACTTCTAATAATGATCTATAAAAAGATATATATATATATATATATTTACATTCTCATTGGAACAACAATTTTCCAAACTGATGCATTGTCTTAACACTGATGTTTACTTTATTGTATATATGTTTTTTGTATTTCAGAATCCCTGATGTTGTGGTGACGCTTAGGACTCGTGCATCCCTGAAAACACATGCTCACACAAAGTGATTGAAGAATCTTTTGCACATACAAGCGCTTCACGGGACATAATGAGAGGCTTCCTGCTGACTGCAATCGTTCTCCTGCCCTTGGTGAGTGAGTCACACATGTGCTGTAACTGTGTGCTGTTCACATGTGGACATGTGTGTTCAGGACCACAAGCATTCATAACTGAACGCTCACATGTCTGCATCCTTGTTTCTTACATGAATTTGTTCTTATAAGTAAACAATTACAGATGCTCGTTGTCGTTTGGTGAAAATGGCCACATGCTGCATTTTCTAACCAGCATAGGTTTGCAGGGCTAAGATCAGCGCTGTGTTAAGGCGACTGCCATCCCCACAGAACAATACCAGATGGCCCAGCTGACCAGAGAGCTGGCAATCCATTTCACTGTGAATCACAGTTATTTGCAGTCTCACTGAAGTAAAAAAGAATTGTAGAGCTGTGCAAGATGTGTGGGAGGAATTCTGCTCAGTGCTCTGATGCAGCACAGCTGGACTTTTATAGCTAAGCCACCCACATTCATTCTTCTTTTAGCTGCTCATAAACAGCTAACCAAAATATAAATGCTAACCAGGATAGCTGGCGAATTAAACTGATTAGCTGTGATAAATATGGACTAAAATAAATTGTAAATGTAAACTCGCAGCACCAGACATCTCCACCTGCCAGGTGCCCCTGTGCACAATGCAGTGACCTTCAGCTACTGATTTGGCTGATATGTATGTTATGATGCACTTGCTGTGTGTCGGCCTGGGTTGTGCGATGAACCAGTGGTCTGCGACGTCAAATTGGAGTTTTATTATCTGTTCTGCACACTGCCGTGGGAGCTGCTGGGTTATCAGGCACTAGAAAATAGCCTTGGGGAGTGAAACTGGGCTCTGCAGCTTCAGACCAGAGGTCTTATCTGGACGTATATCTGTTCCAGAGGAGAAAAATGATTGGCAGAGGAAAGAAGAAGCACACACACATATACTGATATATATATATATACTACACTATCTTAGAACGCAAACCTATAGAAAGAAATTTATACATATGTATATATATATATATATATATCTC